GATTTAATGATCTCTAGGGACGGAGAATCTACTAATTGCTCAGTCTTGCAGTGCCCCGTTAAACTTTCAAGAGAAACATGGTGATAATCGACATCTGTCGCACACCAATATACATTCCTTTGGGTGACATCCTCAAATGTTTTAATAATATCTTCATTTTCTTGCGCTTTTGGCTACACCAGCAGATTTTCAAGCTTTCTTGTTTCTAATGTCCTATCTTCGCAAAGCTAGGTTTTCTCAGCTTCCGTGACATGAGATAAGTACCCTGGGAAAACTAATGAGCATGGCATGGTGCACCTCCTCAGAGTCCAAGGTTTAAGGAGCTGCACAGTGCCCCCACATCTCGTGAGTAATTATGATAAAGAATGAAATCATTCCTTCAACTAATGAGCGTGTTTTTTTCAAGTGGTGGCTAAGTAGTTAGGACATAAATATTAATTTAGTTGTTTGGACCTAACTACTTACAAAACAGAATCAGTGGGTATTTCTTTTGGCCTCAGGGCAGTGAAAAAATTACTAAGATACTCAGGGGATTGCTGTGAACCAAGGAAGTTTGGGAACCTCTGCCTCAGTTTATTCTCCTGTCAGACAACCAATGGTTAGCCAACCTTTTCTTCTCCTCAAAAGGAAATCTGGATTTTTACTCCATCTTTCTGCTGAAACTGCTTTCTCACAGGTTAACATTGATCTTTCTTTCTTTCCTTCTGTGTTTTTTTCACACCCAACCTATGATTTCATCGGTATATGGAATCCTACATAAAGGCAGCTTGGTGGTTTAGTGAATAGAGCCCTGGACTTGGAGTTCAAATTCAGCCTCGCTTATTAGCTGTGTGACCCTGGGCAAATCACTTAACCTATCTGCCTCAGTTTCCGCATCTGTAAAACGAGGATCATAACAGCACCTTCCTTGCAGAGCGGTTGTGAAGATAAAGTAAAGTATCAGGCTCATAGTAAGCACTTCATCATTGCTTGTTCATTTTAATTGAACATAGAAGCTCCTTGTACCATGTGGGCACATCAGCTTAGTATTATAGAGTTGCCTAGAATCAGGGTTTGAACCCGTAACTCAAACCAGCTTTCTATCTACTTCACACTGCTTCTCTCCCAATGATCTTTTAACTGCTAATCCAATGTAATTTTCTTGACTTTGGCCTCTCAGTAGCTGAGGAGAAGCATGTTATAATGGAAAGAAACAGTACTGCCCTCAAAGTCTTTGGAGTTTGAAACCTGCCTCTGCCACTACACGCATTACCCTGGACAAGCCATTGCTTATCTCTCCGGCCCTCCACTGTGCCATCTGTAAAATCAGGAGGTTGAACCAGATGCCCTGAGATCTTTTCCAGCTCTGAATCTATGACCCTGTGTTATTGTCGACTGTCCCATCTTCCCTGGTTTCTTAGTCCTTCTTTAGCTTTCAGGATTTTCTTCCTGGTCCTCCTGCTTCTCTGGCTGTTGGCTGACCTGTCCTCCATTCCATGCCTCCTCCTAAGAGCTGGCATCCTCCACAGTCTCTGGCCTGGCTCCTGTTTTCTTTCTATAGTCTCTCTTGCGCTGATCTCACCAGCTCCCATCATATTCATTGATCATCTCTACATAGAAGATTCCCAAATCTAAATAGCCAGCCCTAATCCCAGTCTTGGACCCCTAATTGCCTGCCAGGCATTTCTGCCTGTGTAACACCAATCCATGGCTATCTCAAATTTAACATGTTCAGAATAATATTGAATGATTTCCCCCCCCCAAACTTTCCTGTTTTTATTGAGGGGGGGCCATCCTTCCAAACGCCTCAGTTTCACCACCTCTAGTCTTCCCTTTCCCTCACCCCTCCACATACAATTAATCAGTTAGGTACCAAGTATTATTAATTCTACTTTCATAGCATCTCTCACATTACATTCCTTCTCTCTACTCTTATTTGTCCAATGCTTATTAGTTCTTTATTGAACTATTGAAATAATTTTGTAGTAATGTAGCAATGGGTTTACCCAGTTATGACAATCTCTACCCTCTCTGATCCATCTTCCACCCTCTTGCTGGAAGATCTTCTCAAGGCACAAATCTAAACCAAGCTCAGAGGCCTTTTACTCCTCTATTGTCTCTGGGGCAAAATACAGCTTATCTGCGTCTATCTTATCTATCTTTCCCCTCCTTCCTATCTTCCTCTCCTTTCTTCTTCCAATCACTCCCTTCCTTTCCCCTCCCTTGCCCCAGGGGTTCAGACTCTAATTCTACGGTCTGCCTAAGACTCCTCTCCAACCTTTTTCCACCCCAACTACCCAAACCCAATGTTTCCCTCCCCTAGTTATGTGTGTGGTGGGGGTGACTGACTGTCAGCCTACGCTGGTGGGTTGAAGATGCAGGCTGTACCAATCAGATAGGATTGCCTCCTTTACCTGGCCCAAGAATGAGGACGTGGCAGTCTGGGGGTGGGTAGACTATTTCCTCAGGCCAAATCAGCAGGAGGACCCATAAGCCTGGACTAATGGGGAATGGACTCTGGGCCACATTAAGTGGAAAGATTGGTAGCCTGGTCATGAGGCAAGTTTTCTCAGTAGATAACACCATTCCTTACTCATCAGGTGATAGGACACACAGTGCTAAGGGGAGAGGGCTCACTTGCCTGGTCCTAAGAAGGGGCTGTTCACTCTTGGTCCCAGAGGACACAGATTCCCGTAGTCCAACTCTTATTTTAAATTATTTTTTTTTTAGGCAATTAGGGTTAAGTGACTTGCCCAGGGTCACACAGCTAGTACGTGTCAAGTGTTTGGTCTGAGGTCGGATTTGAACTCAGGTCCTCCTGACTTCAGGGCTGGTACTCTATCCACTGCGCCACCCAGCTACCCCTCAACTCTTAATTTAAAAATGATACAGCTAAAAGGGACAGGGAGGCTCTTCTGCTTGTACCAAGGGGAGAGGGCTTCATAATCTATACTAATGGGAGGGGTTTTGTTGTAGAGCTTGCTAGGAGAACCTTGCCCAGGTCGACAGCCCCCCCAACCCCCACTAGCTATTATTGTTATTATTATTACTAATGCAAGAGGCCCAGAGAATTTATTAGACTTGTCCAAGGTCATACCAGTAATAAGTGGTGGAGCAACTTGGTCCAGATCACAAATCCGGGATGCATTTGCTGCTTTCCATTTGTATAAGATTGACAAAACACATTTCCCACCACAACACTGTGAGAAGCAGACTGCACAAAATATTTTATGCCCATTTTGTAGATGAGGAAATGGAAGTCTAGAGATGAAATAAGACTGACCAAGGTGAATCACCTCAATTTTCCAGTAAGATTGCAAAGATCTTCACAGAGAATTTTGTGCTAAAATCTGCATGCTGTTAGTATGTCTTGGGAGGGCAGAAAAGGCTAGGAAGATGGTCTGGGAAATCCCCCATCACCCTCCCCTGTACTAAAACAAGTCTGGGTCTAAAGTCCAAGCAGCAGATCTCAGAGCTTAAACACAGAACAGGACTGACAGATCAGCATTTGGGGAGGGCCAGAAATGGGAAGATCCAACATGGAGCTGCGAATGGAATTCCCAAGGAACTCAGTGCACATCTTTCTGTTTTAGTTCCATCTTTGGAACTGAGTGGGAAGACAGATAAAGTCCAACAATCCAGGGGCCATGGTCACTGGCCTCCCCTAAGGCAGCCCGAAGGAAGGAGAACTGGGCTGAGGCTTACACTTGAGGCATCTAGGTGGCCCAATGGATAGAGTGCCAGGCCTGGAGTCAGGAAGACCAGAGTTCAAATCCTCAGACACTAGCTGTATGACCCTGGGCAAGTCACTTCCACCCTGTTTGCCTCAGTTTCCTCATCTGTAAAATGAGGTGGAGAAGTAAATGGCAAACCACTAGTATCCAGTATCTTTGCCAAGAAAACCCCAAATGGCGCCACAAAGAGTTGGACACTACTGAAAACAACAATAACATTCTCAAACCTTGAAGGTTCTAGGGAGCCCTTGGTCCTGGGCCTAGCAAACAGGCTGAAAAGAGGATCTGGTCTGCCTGGGGCTAGGAAGTCCCACTCCCTGCCCAGGATTTGACCCTTTTGATACCCTGGTAGTTAACTAGTGTATTTCTGCCAGAGATGTCTAGTTCTAATACCCATCAGACTAAATGGCCTCCAACGTCTCTTCTAGCTTTGAAAAACCTGTAGCTGGTGGGCATCTGGGTGGTGCATTGGCTAGAATGTTGGACTTGAAGTCAGAAGGACCTGAGTTTGAATCCTGCCTCAAATGCTTAGCAGCTGGATGACCCTCAGTAGACTTGACTTCTTTGAAGTTTTCTCATCTGTAAAATGGGGATAATAGCACCTATCTCACAGGGATCCCATGCGATAACATGAGTACAGCGATTCCCAAAGCTTAAAGTGCTGTGTAAATGCTAGCTATTGTTTTATCGTAGTAATTTCAGCCAAAAGGCCAGCTGGCCACTTATTTCTAGAGTCTGAACTCTGGATAGTCAAGGCATTTCCCACTTAGCTAGATGGTGAGGTGGATAAAGTGCTGGGCCTGGAGTAAGGAAGACCTGAGCTCAAGCTCAAATCTACTCTATTTCCTGTGTGACCCGGGGGCAAGTCACTTAACCGCTGTCAGTCTCAGTTTACTCAGCTGTAAAATGGGGATAATAATAGAACCTACTTTCCAGGGGTGTTGTCAGGATCAAATGGGATAATATTTGTAAAGCGCTCAGCACGCAGTCTGTGATCAATAAATGTTTGTCCTCTTCCTCTTCCCTTACCTCATCTCTTGCTAAAAAGAGCCGGGCCACAGCGCAGAATTAGAGCTCTGAGGCTAATCCAGGTCCCAAAGAGGTTTTTACTGTATCCGCCGGGGCTGGGCACAGCTGGGGCCCCGCAGATAACAGAAGACCTGGGCCAGAGGCCGAGGTAAGTTCCTGCTGGCTGGAGGGCTGACTTTACCCAGGAACGCTCTTTTACGAGGCTTTCCCCTGTCCCCCGGGCCACAGCTCCCGTCCAGCTCAGGCACAGTCCCTTACCTTAGTTAGGATGGCAGGTCGAGGTCTGCGGGTCCGCTGCTTTGGTAGATGAAGTCCCCCAACCGAACCTTGTGTTCTTCTCGGTCTTAGGAGAGGGTGTTGGGTGCAGAGGTGCTGTGCCTTGCTCTGACCTGCAGCTTCCCACCTGTCACCCAGCCCCCTGGCTCTGTGCCAAGATGTGTCTTGGACGAAGAGTCCTGTTTCTCTCTGGCCTTTGGCAAAAGTTGCCGTGGGGAATCTTACAAGGCCAGCAGTTCAGCTTGCTGGGTTTTTCTACGTGGGGTAGAAGCCTGGGATTAAAGGAGGCGGAGGAGGAGGAGAGGGAGGAGTGGGAGGAGGAAGGGGGAGGAGGCGGGGGCTGCCCTTCTGGCTCCTTGCAAAAGAAACGAGAACAGCGGCGGCCAGCGCTGACTGCACTTCTGAGCAAACCGGGAAGCTGCTTGGGGCAAAACTTGACTGCCTCCTTCAGCTCCTCCCAGCCCTGCCTGGAGCCAAACTCTTCAGAGCATAGAGGGAGAACAGCAGAGAAGGAACACAGCTGCACGGCCTGGGGTGCTTAGCTAGGAGGGGGGAGGGCTCTCTCCCCGGGAAGCTTTTGGTAAGCCCAGCCTCTGCGTCCAGGACGGCTGGAATGCTTAAAAGGGTTGGGCTCACCGAACTAATCAAGCCCGGGTGCTGGCAGACAGGGCTGGCCAGCTGCCCCGAATCCAGCAGGGAAGACGTTGGGGGACGAGGTAGTGAGGGGGCAAACGGGGACGTGTCTGTCTCTTGCCAATGATCTGTTGGAGATCATGAATGCCCCCTCTCTTGGAAATGAAATTTGATGGTTGCACACGTCTTAAATTATTGAGGAGTCAATAAAGTCATTGCTTATTTATTCGGGGGGAGGAGGGAAATGCTTCCAACTCCTTGCCTGGACCCAAATCAGTGTTGGCAATTTCTCACTGTCTGAAGACAAAGCTGGGAAAGGAGCCGTGATGGGGGGGGGGGGAGGCGCGCGCTGCGCGCGCTCGCGCTCACGTGCGCGTATGTATATGTGTGTCTTTGTGGGTATTGTATTTAGGTGGGTGGGTCAATCAATCCACAGCCAGTTTTTAAGCACTTTTAGGCTCTGGGGTTACAAAGACAAAAATGAAAAATTCCTAGCCCTTTAATATTCTATAACCCGTCGGTGTCTGTGTTTGTGTCTTTATTTGTTGTGTCTGTGTGTATTATTTCTATATGCATGCCAATGAGTGTTTGTCTCGGGGTATGTTGGGCTTATGGGTCTTTCCTCTATATATCTGTAGTTGTATGTATCTCTGTGTGTTTTTGTATGCTTTGTGTCTCTTCCAGCCTTAGTTCTGATCCTAGGGCTCCTGGAAGAACTCATTGAGAACGGGGCTGCAGAGGTAGAGAGTGTCCTTTCTTTTTTTTTTTTTTTGTTTGTTTGTTTGGTTGGTTGTTTTTTTTGGTGAGGCAGTCGGGGTTAAGTGACTTCCCCAGGGTCACACAGCTAGTGTCATGTGTCTGAGGCTAGATTTGAACTCAGGTCCTCCTGACTTCAGGGCTGGAGCTTATCCACTGTGCCACCTAGCTGCCCCGAGTGTCCTTTCTTTGTACCCCACAACATTTTAAACTTAAATATTGAAACTTGATGACAAAATAAGAAAAGAAAAAACATGTCAGGTGCACAGCAGAACACAAGAGAAGATTTAAAATATATAGCAATAAATTTCCATTTCAAGAAAGCCTATGCAATAAATACTATACATTGTGTTGAGAGCTATCCATCTTTTCTTTGCTTCCTTGTAAGTTTTCTTTTGTTCTCTGCTGTGCACTTTTTACTTTGTCGTTTTTTCTCCTTCTTTCCCCACCCCCACCCCCACCCCCACCAGGCTTTCTTAGAAATTTTATTTTATTTTATTTATTTTAGTGAGGCAAGTGGGGTTAAGTGACTTGCCCAGAGTCACACAGCTAGTGAGTGTTATGCGTCTGAGGCCGGACTTGAACTCAGGTACTCCTGACTTCAGGGCTGGTGCTCTATCCACTGTGCCACCTAGCTGCCCCTTCCTTAAAATTTTTTTTTAAAAAAATGCTTCCTGCTTGAGCATTTGCCTTTATGACCATGAATGAATAGAGAATTCTTCTGGGTAGTGTCTCTTATTGGTTGAGTTCCATTTCAATGTGGGAACTCCACTTTAGATCTCTTTCAAAGTTGACATTAAATCATTAGCAGATACTCTTTGGGGATAGACGGTCAACTAAGTATGAATCAACGTAGCATCTACCCAATATGACCTACGAGGGAGGTGGAGAAAGAAAGCCTTTCCCTATCCCACCCACCTACAACATTGCCCTCTAGTATGAGTGGAGGGTGGCGTGTGACCCCTCCACTCATACCAGAGGGCAATGTTGTAAAGCCATTCTAAGTCTGGACTCTCTGGAGCTCTCAAACTGCATCAGTCGCCTTCAGGACTGACCAATTTTTGGGCTTCCAATCCCAAGCTTCCCTTCAAATCTAATTACACAAATTTTTTTTAAGTGGACACAGGCAACATTTAATACTTCATTTAATCTGTTATCTTTGCTTTCTGTGACAACATCAGTTGATCAAAGACCAACTACCCTCCTACATATGTGTCTTCCGTGTTTGGCTCGTGTATCTATGCCTCTATCCATGCGTACATTATGTGTACCTGTGTATATTTGTGTGTGTGTGTGTGTGTTGCCTATGCTAACAATGCAGTAGTCTTAATGCAGGAAAGACTGATGGGGGGAAACTAAGGAAAGAGAAAGTGTGTGAAAGCATGGTAGTGAGAGTGGTTAATTTTCTAAGAGCACTGAGCTGAAGTCAGGGAGGAAGCACTCTGTCCTTTATGCCTGCTCCTCAGAATCACAGAATCTCAGAGCAGGAAGGGTTCTCCATGTTCTCTGGCAGCATTTCATGAGCTTAATATAGTAACATTTAACTAAGCAGAAGCACAGACTCTTTTACTTATTAATTTTGTAAGACGGATGGTGGCCTGGCGGAGAAGGCAACAGACGACAGAATCTTGGAGTCAGAAGGAACCGTGGCCATCACTAAAGTCAAACACACCTTTGACAGAAATCTCATCCACAAGATACTCAACAGGTAGTCATTCAGTTCCCAACAAGGCATTCACCCCACTCCTCCTTTCCCAGCTCCCCTTTGTGTGCTGTCTTCCCCAATAGAATTTAAGATCCTTGGGGGCAGTGATGGTTTTGTTTGCTTGTATGGGTAGCCCCAGCACTTAGCATGGTGACCAAAATGTAGTGAATCTGCAACAAATGTTCTCTTCCTTTCTCATTCTTTCTCTGTCTCTCTCATTTTCTCTCCCTGTTTCTCCATCTTCTTTGTTTTGCATTTTCTCTCACTCTCTCCCTATCTCTGTCTAATTCTCCATCTTTCTCTCCATATTTCTCATTTTCTATCTCTCTCCAACTCTCTTCTCTCTCTTTTTCTCTCTCCCTGCCTCTCTCCATCTTTCTCACTCTGTCTGTCTCTGTCTATCTCTTTCCCTGGCCATCTCAATCCACTTTTGGACAATTCTAATTATTAGGATGCTTTTCTTTACACTAAGCCTAAACTGGCTTTTTTGGGGGGGGGTGGGGGGGACAATTGCCAATTATTGTTTTTGGTTTGTTTTTTTACCAACCAGTGGTCTTCTGGGACCAAGCAGAATACAACTGATCCTTCTTCCAAGAGACAACCCTTCAAATGCTTAGAGAGTGATCATGTCTGCTTAATTGTTTTCTACAGGTTCACACAATCTTACCAATGTCCTTCCAAAAAAAAAAAAAAGATGGCCGGAACCAAATGAAATACTCTAGAAATATGGTCTGAACAGGACAGACTATAGTGTGACTGGTTGCTCTGCTACCTCCTCATGCACCCTCTGGCCACATTACCTTTCTTGGCTGCCATATTATAATACTGACGCACATTGAACTGGTAGCCTACTTAGATCCCAAATCTTTTTTAAACTGCTACTTAGCCACATTTTCCCCATATTATATTTAGAAATTGATTTTCTGAATCCAAGGGTATGACTTTATGTTAATCCATCTTATATTTCCTCTTACATGATTCAGTCCAATGGGCTAGCCTGTTGAGATTTTTAAAAATCTCATTACTCAATGTCCTAGCTATCCCCTTGAGTTTTATGTCTTTTGCAAACCTGATAAGCATTACCATATATAGTTTTATCCAAGTCACTGATTAAAAGGTGAAACAAACACACAGGACCAAATATAGATCCCTAGGGAACTCCGCTGGAGACCTCCTTCAAAAATTCTCAGAGAATTCCACTTTAGATCTTTTTCAAAGCTGACATTAAAACATTAAAAGATACTCTTTAGGTCTGGACAATCAACCAACTATGAATCTACCCAACATGTCTCCATCTTGAGGGAAATAATTATTAAATAAGCAATTGTTAATATTGGGGAGATCCAGGATTTTTTCCCTTTCTCATTTGGAGTTTAGGTCAAAGTTTAGTTCTCTGAAGGGCAGGTTAGATGATGAGATGAAATCTTGGAATTGTTACCCCACCCAACTAGAGAACTTACAAAGAATTTAATATAAGGTGAATTCCAGACCTTTGTGTTCCACACAAACTGGCTAGCTTGCCTGCCGCTGGGGGCGATCTGGCTTGAAATGGTCTCTCTTTGTCCATGAGTGACTTAATCAGTGCTGTCCCCCAGCCCCTCATTAGAATAGGTCCACCTCTCATTATAATACTCATTCTCTCATTACTTATTAACCAATCAGAGTCAATTGCCACCCTCAGGAACACTGTTCCAAAGGCATATAAGTGTTGAGTGGGTTCCATGAGACATCTTTGGAATTCAGTTTTTGGCATTCGAGAGTGCCACTGACCTCTTTTATTAAATTATCTGCTGGCATAGCTAATAAAATGATTAATTATCCAGAAACCAAGTTTCTCAAATTTTTTTATGTATGACAATCTTTTCCACAATACCACCCCAGGATGCTTTACCATGTACTTCGACAAAATTTACATAAACTATAGCTGCAGTATTCTGGTGATCTACCAGTTTAGTAATCCTGTCAAAAAAGGAGAGAGTTAGTCTAGCTCAAGACTTTCTTGGATATTCCCTCTATCACTCCAAAAAGCTAAAAGCAATAAAACCCCACTTTTTCCTTGTTATCTTTTGCTCTCCCAGCCAGCTTCCATTCATTCTGGGCTTTAGCATTCCTGACACTATTGTTACAGGACTATGCCAACCAATTTGTATTCATCCTCCATTACCTGCTCTTGCTTCTATCTTCCACACCAAATTTCCATTTTATCCTGTGTCTAACTTGTTTGGATATGGTTACTTGCATGATTGTCTTCCTAATTAGATTGTGAGCTCTTTGAGGGCAGGGACTGCCTTTTACCTTTTTTTTTTTTTAAATATCCCCAGGGCTTGGCATAGTGCTTGGCAGATAGTAGGCATTTAATAAATGCTTATTGACTGACCCACTGACTGATCATGTGTGTCTTTTAAAAATCTGTGTTGATGAGTTCCCTATGCATCCACATGGCTCTTTTTGGACAGCTCCTCTTTCCTCCTCATCAGAATTGTATACCTTGATGTCTTCGGGACTCATTTTTGAAAGATTTCTATCTGTCCTGGACTGACTTTCCTTGTAGACGTCTAGGACATGGTATCTTACTTCTCCTTCCTCTGAACCCTGTGATACGTGCTTTCACCCAATCAAGGCTGCAGATCAGGCTATCTAGCTTACCTCTGCTTTCTTATCACAGAAGCTAAGATGGATTAGTCAAGGATCCCAGCCATTGCAGCAAAGACTTGCTGGTGAAAATCAGTAAAAATCAGATCCAGAACAGTGGTGACATTTCTGTAGGAGATAAAGGGACCTAAGCACTCCTCCCTGGGAAAAGCAAAGCTATTGCCATAGAGTCTGGAGTTATGGATAAAACCATTAGGTATCTAATGCAGATAGAGCACATATGTATGGAGCCTTGCACATACTAGTTGTGTGACCTTGGGCAAGCTATCTACCCTCTCTGAGTCTATTTCCTCAAAAATAATGACATTTTCACTACCTATCTCATAGAACTGTGAGTCAACAGGCATTTGTTAATTACTTTCTACGTGCCAGCCGCTGTGTTCAGTGTTGGGAAAGAAGGCAAAAACAGTCCCTGCCCTAAAGAAGCTTACAATCTAATGGGGAAAACAAGTAAATACCTAGGCACATACAAGATACATAGAGGATAAATGGAAGGCAGAGAGGGAAGGTACTAGCAGAAGAGAGACCTGGAAAGGCTTCCTATAGGAGGAAGAGGTACAGAAGGTACAAAAGGATTGGAGCTGTCTCAAAGGAAGACAAAGAAACTAAATGGCAGATATATCAGAAGTAAACCTTAGAGTACTTACTAAAGAAGTCTGAGTTATTATTATAGTAGGTGCTTGAGAAATTTATTGAATGAATGAGTGAATGGATGAATGAATGAATGATTGAACAAATGGCATTTCCGTTGTTTTCCCCTTAGTGGGAATGTGCTCTATTGAGCCATGGACATTCTCTTTTCTGATCTTTCTCATGACCTAAAGGGCACATCTGGTGAGACAGGTGGCTGGATCTGGAGGAACAGTCTGTAACCATAGTATAAGGCAGACAGGTAATCAGAAGGGGGAATCAGTGGAGGTATGATTTTCTAGCCAAGGTGCCCACATAAGCAGAAAATGAAGTGTAAATGATTCCTAACATACTACCTGCCCTCAGACACAAAAAGTACATTGGGGTCTGGATAGAATATTTATTAAGCACCTACTATGTGCCAAGTACTATAGATATGAAGACAAAATGAAACAGTATTTGCCCCCTGGAGGAGGGGACATAAAGAGAGAGGGAGGACGCACAGAACTTGCATATAGATAAGAAAATAAAATATATAGAAATTAAATAACTAATTTTGTAGATAATGTGGGGAGCATGAAAAATAGGAGGAATGAGAAAAGGACTCTTGTAGGAGGTGGTACTTGAAATGAGCCTTGAGAGGAAAGTTAGGGATGAGGAACAGAAGTGAGAAGAGTGCATTCTGGGAATGTACAAAGAAAAAAATGAAGGAAGGCAGGAGATGAAATGTCATAGACAGAAAACATGAATTAGATGGTGTGTGATTAATAAAGATGGTGTGTGAATCTCATACCTTCTTTGCATTTTCAAAGTGATGGAATTGAATCAGAGAATTTCAAGATGGCCTCATTTAGTTCTAAAATTCCAAGATTCAACTATTCTTTCCATAGTGTCTTTTCTTATAAAACAGTTCAAGAACCTTTAAAATAGATGAGAAAAGGGATCAAAGGAGATCATTAATTAACCAGTCAGCAAGCATTTATTAAGCACCTGTGACGTGTTAGGCACCATGTATACAATGACAAAAATGAAAATGTCCCTGCTCTCAAGAAGCTTACATTCTGTCAGGGGGAGCAGCATGTACATAAATAGGAGAACACAAAATATATAAAGATAATATAATTTTGGTGAGGAAGGGAAGGCACTGGCAGCTGGGAGGAATCAGGAAAATTTTCACACTGGTGTTGTTGAGGCAAAATTTTGAAGGAAGCAATGGATTATATATAAATAGCTCCTTCCAAAAAGAATGACAAACTATTAGCAGCTATATTTGAGATTTCTCCAAGTCACTAATAATAAGAGAAATACACATCAAATCGACTCTGATGTTTTACCTCCCCATCATCCTCACCCCCTAGCATATTGGCAAAGATGGCAAAAGGTGGAGGATGTGGAAAGGCTGACACTAATAGAAAGTAGAGTTGTGAACTGGTTCAACCATTCTGAAAAGAAATTTGGAACTCTGCTAAGAAAGTGGTTAAAAGGACCATTCCCCTCTGACCAAGAGATCCCACTGGTAGGAATATATCCCAAAGAGGTCAAAAAGAGTGACAAAATTCCCATATACAGTAAAATATTTATAGAAGCACTTTATATACTAGCAAAAAAAAAGTAGATGTCCAATAAGTGGGTAATAGTTTAAAAAACTGTGAACATAATGGAATATTACTGTGCTGTAATAAATTATGAACATGAACTCAGAAAGCATAGGAAGATAGAGGAACTGGTACTGAGGGGATTATAGAACCAGAAAAACAATATAGACAGTGACTAAAACAATATAAATGGGAAGGACAACAAACTCTATGAACCAACATTGTATATTTAGAATGAACAAGCTAGTCCCCAAAGATGAGAAGAAAAAACTCGACTCTACTTGCAGAGGGAGGGGATTATGGGAGCATTTCATTCACCGTCAGTGCTGGCTGATGGTGTCAGTTAGTTTTGCTGAACTGCTTTTAAAAATTCCTAGTGTAGTGGGTGAACTGTGCATACACAACCTTGTCTTGGTTGTTGTCCTTTGTTTTCAAGAGGACTCAAATGACATCACTATGTCAGGGTCAAGGCACGACATGTCCTACTGTGGCTGATCAGACCAACACAAGCTCTACCACAGGTCAGGCTCAAGTAGTGCATATGAACATTTGGAGTGGAGATGGCTCTAAATTTGCACAGCTCACCTTTCCTTTGAGCTACTGCAATTCTGCTTTGCTTATGGAATAGCACAGCACCTTCTTTGATGCAGGTACGCCATGCTGGGCAGTCCAGTGCCAGTGTCTCCCATGTCTCATAATCGAATCACCCCTATCTGCTACTCTGGCTAGAGCACACCTCCTGGGAGCATATGTTCAGCTGAGATGGGTTCCCTCACCCGCTTCTGGTTATGCAGGAAGGAGGCAAAAGTGTCTCTGTCAGATACTGAGCAAGGGATAACCATAGGCTTTTAAGGGAGAGAAAATTCCATTCTTGCTCTCTTCTTTCTCCTCTCCAGAGCATGTAGAATCAGACTTTCTTTCTGAGACTTCCTGTCACCTCCTCCTTCCTTTGGCATCTATGGCAGCTGCCCTCACATAGCGCTAAGAACACATGCTAATCTAAGTGAACCTGGGTCAGAATCCTGACTCATTCGTCTGCTTTGTGTTTCTTTCCTTGAACATAGGTGACCAAATAGTGATCATGAGATGGACATTTCCAGCCTAGGTGGCAACCTCATGAGTTCAAGAGGTCAAGGGATCCTGGATCCCTTAGTTGACATTAGCTACACTGAAGGAGGCGTATCCAGCAGCTACTGAAAGGCTTCTAGGAGGGGGAAATGACCACTGGCAGGAGGATGAGGCCAAACCCTGGTCTGGCTTGCCAGAAGACATGGACCTTGAGGGCCTTATTCACATAGAACAGAGCCAAGGTGAAGGAGGAAATACCTGTTCAATAGTCCCACTGAATGTCTTATGTTTTGATGTTTTAAGTTTCACCTACCTCGAAGAGCATTAATAAGAGTGGTGGATTAACATTTCACATTTTAATTCTTTGTTGATGTGCATGTATACATCTTTTGTGATCTAAGCATTTTTTGTGGTTGGGGTTTTTTTTTTTGTGGTGGGAGAAATAAGTAGCTGTCCTATATCTGATTTATATTGCATGTTGAGAAACTTTCAGTTCCCTTTGTGGAGGACCACAAACATGAGCCAAACTTAAGCTTGAAGTGATTTCCCCCCCAGGATTACAGGTTTGGGGCATAACAAGTTAGAGAATTTGAGAAAAAGTCCTATTCCTTAATTTAGAGGACAGGCTTCCCCAGGACTGACTCCAGAACCAGGGGTCCCTTAGTGCATGAGGTGGAGCACTCCACACCTCCTAGAACCAGCAGGTCTATTGCTATGTTCTTGTCCTCCAGAAATGCCAAGAGAGTGCTACCTTTGTCATAAGGGATGGTTCTCCGGAAAGGATCAAGAAGAAGGACACATTTAGAAATGAAAGCAATATAAAAGCAAAAGATAATAACAAATTTTAAATTGAAAGCAAGCAGGAATCTTTACAACTCCCTTAGAAAGATAAACCATTTTGTCTGGGGTAGAGAAGGATGGGAGTGGAAAAAGCAACCTAGGGGAGTGGTAGGAGGAGAGAAGCAAAGATGGGGAGGTACAAGTCATCTGCTGAGAGGGACCCTGGAAGAAGTCGGTGGGGGGGATGTCAATGCTGCTGTTGGAGTGGGGAAGAGCTTATGAACATCCCAGGCATACTTCTGGGTCCATCCCAGCCAGGGGTCTGAAATCGGAGTCAGAAAACACAGACACCGGGACAGCATACAACTTCTAGAAAACAACTTTTGTTTTAGCTTGGCTGAACAAATCCTAAGAAATTTTCCCCAGAATGGATGTTACTTCACGCTCTTCTTGCTCTTGGGGACAGCAGGCACCAACTCATTCTGGTGGAGTGGGGGGACTTTCACCCCTTTCTGTTTCAGCTGCTGATAAAAGTCCAGGCGTTCACTAATGATTCTCTATAAATGAAACGCATCCAAAGAAGAAAATGACTTTTCCAAGCTTCTCAATCAATAATCAGTCAATCAAGAAACACTGATTAAGAGCCTACTCTGTACCAGGCATGGTGCTAAATGCTGGCAAAAAGAGGTAAAAAAAAAAAAGATACTTCCTGACTGCAAGGAGCTCACAATTGCTGTCTTTTACCCTCCTCCTTTGCACAGGACTCCCCTAAATGATACCAGCCAGATGGAACCTAATCCCCCATCCTCTGAAATGTACAGAGAAGGAATGTGGCTATCTCCCTTGGTGAACCAGTGCAGGACTTCACCCAGAATCTCAGAGTTGGAAGAGATGTCCAAGATCATCTAGTTGGAAGAGCTATCTGATAACATACCATCGTGATATGATGTCTGGTATCATATCGTGATACCATCTAGATATCCTAGACCAACCTGTGTGTCAGCAGGAATCCTTTCTATGATGCCACATGGCTGGGGAAATCTTTTTGTGTTGGGGAAGCAAGGCAAGGCCCAGAATGGTCCCCAGTTGGGGTACAATCATAGTGGGAAAGAGGCAAAGTTGAGGGAGAAAGCCTTGCATTTCGTAACTTCCCACTTTAACTCTTCATTCTTGCTAACTAACTCAATTGTTTCTATGTTACTGAAGGACTATAAGCACTGTCAGTATCCTCTAGAATTTGGTGCCTTGGTACAAAGTCATGATCATTCCACCCTAGTTTCACCTCTGTTTCCAGGTCCTTCCCATGATCCTGCAACTCTGAGAAGTCCTAAAGTCAAAACCAAATCGATTCCATAGCGATACAAGTCTGCTTTCCCTTGTTCTGTCCCTGAGGATCGCAAACAAGGGATTCACCCCCAGTCAAGAAGATCATTTATCTTCCATCTAGCCATCACTACCCACAGCTCTTTTCCTCCAGGTTATATAATGTAAATCCATATGTGTGTGTGTGTGTGTGTGTGTGTGTGTGTGTGTGTGTATATACACACACAGAGATATATATATATATACACATACAGATATATATATATACACATACACACACAGATATATATATATACACACACACAGAGATATATGTATATATATATATATATACACACACACACAGATATATATATATACACACAGAGATATATATATATACACATACACACACAGATATATATATACATACACACACAGAGATATATATATATACACACAGAGATATATATATACACATACACACAGAGATATATATATATATATACACACACACAGAGATATATGTATATATATATATATACACACACACAGATATATATATATATACACACACACAGAGATATATATATATACACATACACACACAGAGATGTGTGTGTATATATATATCTCTGTGTGTGTGTATATATATATATATACACACACACACAGATATATATATATACACACACACACAGATATATATATATATACACACACACACAGATACATAGATATATACACACACACACAGATATACATATATATACACACACACAGATATATAGATATATACACACACACACACAGATATACATATATATACACACATAGATATATACATATATACATATATATACACACATATATATACACACACAGATATACATATATATACACAGACACACAGAGATATATATATATATACACACACACACAGATATATATATATACACACACACACAGATACATAGATATATACACAGACACACAGAGATATATATATACACACACACAGATATATAGATATATACACACACACAGATATATATATATACACACACACACAGATATATAGATATATACACACACACAGATATATAGATATATACACACACACAGATATATATACACACACACACACACACAGATATATATATACACACACACAGATATATATATATACACACACACACACACACAGATATATATATATATATACACACACACAGATATGTATATATACACACAGAGATATATATATATATATATACACATACACACACAGATATATATATACACACACACACACAGATATATACACACACACACAGAGATATATGTATATATATATATAT